ATGGGAGGAGGAAACAAACAACTACTCTATCTATCTACTCTTAACCATTCTGTGTCTTATATGGGTCTTTGAATTTTCTCATTGTGCCTCAAAGGTTAAAGAACAACAAGGAGGAATACAGCACAGGATCAGGCCCTTTGACCTCCAAGCCTGCGCAAACACATTTTGCCCTTCCACATTAAAACTGTCTTCACTTACAGGATCCGAATTGCTCTATTTCCTTCCTATTTATGTATTCATCCAGGTGCTTCTTGAATGCTGCTATTGTCTCTGTCCCCTCTGGCAGCGCATTCCAGGCACTCACTACCCTCAGTGAAAAACTTGCCTTGCACGTCTCTTTTAAACTCCACCCCCCACAACTGCACCCCCCCCCCCCCGCCCCCTGAACCTATGCACCCCCTTAAATTCCCCCCCCCCTCCACCCTAGGAACAAGCCTCATACTTTGCACTCTCTCCATGCCATTCAGAGTCTTATAAACTTCTATCAGGTTGCCCCCTCAACCTCGTGTTCCAGTGAAAACAAACCCAGTCTACCCAATGTTTCTTCATAGCTAAAATTCCCTATACCAGGCAACATCCTGGTAAATCTTTTCTGTACCTGCTCCAAAGCATCCACATCCTTCTGGGAGTGTGGTGACTAGAACTGTATGCAAAATCCAAGTATGGTCTAACTAAAGTCCTATAAAGCTGCAGCATGACTTGTCTATCCTTATAATCAATGCTCCTTCCAATGAAGGAAAGCATGCCATATGCTTTTTTTTAAAAAAATCACTTTATCGACCTGCACTTCCATCTTCAGTGATCTGTGGACTTGCACATGCAGGTCCCTCTGTATATCAATTCTCCTAAGCGTTCTAGCATTCACTGTATAATTTCCACCTGTGCTTGACTTTCCAAAATGCATTACTTCACATTTGTCTGGATTAAACTCCATTTGCCATTTTTCTGCCCATGCCTCCAACTGATCCAAATCCCACTGTATCCTCTAATAATCCTCCTCAATATCCGCAACTCCACCAATCTTTATATTGTCCACAAACTTATTAATTAGACCAGCTACATTTTCCTCCAAATCATCTGTATAGACTATGAACAGCAGACGTCCCAGCACTGATCCCTTTGGAACACCACTAGTCCTAATCCTCCATTCCAAAAAGCATCCTTCCACTGCTACCTTCTGTCTCCTATGATTAAGTCAGTGCTGTATCCATCTTGTCAGCTCACCCTGATACCATGTGACTTCACCTTTTGTATCAGTCTGCCATGAGAGACCTTGTTAAAGGCTTCACTGAAGTCCATGTAGACAACATCAACCACTTTTCCCAATCATTTTAGTCACCTCCTCAAAAAAAACCCGATCAAGTCCGTGAGGCACAGCTTCCCCCACGCAATAACATGCTCTCTATCATTAATAAGTCCGTTTCCTTCTAAATGCATATGGATCTTGTCCCTGAGAACCTTTTCCAATAATTTCCTGACCACCGACGTGAGGGTCGTAAACCTGTAATTTCCTGAATTATCCCTGCTATCCTTCTTAAACAATGGAGCTACATTGGCTATTCTGCAGTCCTCAGGGACCTCACCTGTGGCTAAACAGCATACAAAGTTGTCTGTCAATGCTCCAGCAAGTTGTTCTCTTTCCTGCCTCAATACTCTAGGATAGATCCATCAAGACCCGGCACTTATTTGCCTTAAAAACTTAAGACGCACAGCACCTTTTCCTTTTTAATAGCAACTTGGCTTAGAAATTTGTCACTCCCTTCCCTGAGATCCTCCTCTGCCAATTCCTTCCCTTTGGTGAATACTGACACAAAGTATTCGTTTAGGACCTTTTGTCTCATAACTTATCACGTTTTCAATTTAACAAGCTCTAGTTTCCACTTAACCATTTTCATGTTCTTTTTTTTTAACAAGATCATAGCATTGTTTTCTTTCCTCTTCTTGTTCTGTTCCATTTTAAGTGTTGCTTATCCTATTAAGTGGTTCCAGTATTTTCAGTTCCGGATAACTTACAGACTCCTATCAAGGGCTGATAACGAGGCCTCACAAGAAACTCTTAAAAAGTAACGAAAATAGATATATTGCAGACTGAACAATGACTGCAGGGAATAGGTGCACAGGTCCAAGAAAACAATCAGTACAGATCCAGGAGGTCCAAGAAAAGGATTTAAGTCCAGAACCTAGAGAGGTTGAATGGTTTTTTCTTATTCATTTTTTCACAAATTGTTTTGTTGTTACATCAGTGTTTCTGTCAGAGTTTCAGCAACGTTAGTATTGCTACATGTCGTGACTTTAACAAATCAACCATTCTGTTAAAGCTGGAATTGGCAAACTATTGTGCATGCTGGGCTGAACTTTGATTCCTAATCTTACTAAAATTAGCTGCACAAGAAACAAGTTTTGGTCTATTGGAAATAATTCAATTGGATACTTTATTAACAAACTGCTTATTCACATCTTCAAAGATCTGAAAAGCTGTTTTCCATGTTATGATATTATACTTCTTGTCTTCAATTTGTGCTGTAAGCAAGAATAGTGAACATTATCACATTCAGGTTGCTATGTTCTATGTGTGGTTCTACCTTGCAAGCAGGGCGGGTCTTGTTGGGAGGTATTCAATCAGCCACTCAAAATATTTCAAGATTTACTCAGAACAGTTCAAAGGTTACAGGCAATTGGAGAAGGAGACAGAGACAGAAGCAAGTTTCATGCAGAAAAGAATCGTTTAGGTGGCCTTCTGAAAAGTCAGATAAAATCATATTGTGTCATTGAATTCAGTGAGTTAGCTAACAGCAGGAGAAGGTGACTAGCCCTAAGGCACTTAGCAGCTTACTGGATCCAAATTAGAAGCTATTTGCCAGAGTTGGTCAAAGAACTGTTAGGGAAGTTAAGGCACATGAACGCCCATGGTTTGGGGCATTTTTGCTTGAAGTAGCTAAGGAGTTGGAATTTTTCTAGTGAGTAGATGATGGAGTTCATCAGATGAATCCAGTAAGATGCAGTGTCAAGAGATGAGCACTCACTGAGGCCTTCAGTTAGAGAATGACTTTGGAAGGAGTTCGGAAGCTAGATCTTTCAAAGAGAAGAAATTAAAAATCACTTGTAAAGGTTAAGAAGATTTGATGCCCCACAGTGACGATACATCTGGAAAGTTTGCTATGAAATCCATGGGATCCAACATTGTCACTTTTGGTATTTTATGCAATGTTTGATCACAATTTGTTTATTTGCCTAATGTTAATTCTGGGTGTTAGAAAACAAATTGTAGATTATATTACTGTTCTAACTTTATAAAGTTCGTTGTTGTTTGTTTAAAACTGTGGAATCTTGTGGCTTTATTCTCTTACTAAGTTTCTGGATCTGATGCTTTGTATACCTTAAAAAGTTACTAGTCCCCAGTCAGATCATATAATAAAAAACTAGTGGTCTGCTTTGTGATCGTAATATTATATATTGGAAGAGAGAAATTCAACTTATTATGCTGGTGTAAGTCATTGATTCTCAGAGCTGTACTGCAGTGGAAAACACACAGAATCAATGCACTGAATAATTTTTGGTACCAATAAATAACAAAACTAACATTATGCATTTTTTAAGACATTAGTCCCATCACTTGGTCTAACTCTTGCTTAAACAGGATACGGATGTTCCTTTTAGAACTACGGTTAGGTTTATTGTCACAGGTACTTACATGAGTGCAGTGAAAAGTTTACAAAATCGCCACTTACGGCACCATCGTAGGTACAAAAGTACCCAAGTGTCTTAGGATTTTCTTCGAACTCCTTGTTTAAGTATCCCATATATAAGCCAGGGATTTCCTTCAACTTCTCAACATTTAGTGGGTAGCCATACCTCTAAGGTTCCTGTCGCTTGCAAAATGCCATGGCAGCAAAACGCATGCATACAGATGATTACCATGTTGTCATCCTTCCTACGTCCCAACCCACCTCCAAATTTAGCCCCAGGTTACTCATGGCCATTCAGGTGTTTACAGGATTCTTATTTGTGAAACATCAGTTCTGAATACCAGTTCCTATAATTGCTGTCAGTAGGGAGGTAATGCTATTGAGTTAATGAACTGAATTATCAAATCAGAGGTAATTCATTCAAGTCTTACTATGGAGACTTGATTACAAAATCAAGATTGAAATACCAATGGTAGTATTGATTGAACAATGTACTGTTGGAGTTGTCATCTTCTAGAAAAAGCTGAAAAGCAGAATTCTCTCCAGCTTAATGGCCAATTTTATTCTTCACATAACATCACGAAAATTATTATTTGGGAATTATCTCCTCACTATTTGTGAGAGAATGCTATGTGCACATTTCCAAAGGGACAACACCACAAAAGTACCTAAGTAGCTGTTTAGCACTTTGCAACCTTAAGGTTTCAGGATTAGAATTCTCTCCATGACTCTGCCAAGAATTAAGTGATATTGTGGATGAAATGGCAGAATGTGTCGTGCTGAAACTGACCACTGCCTCTCTGCACTAACCTGTAATTTCTCCTTCATTGGCCACCCCATCGTTGTTCACTTCACAAGTGAGAACCAGTTAACGGCAGGAGCATTGAGTGATTTATGCTCAATTAAAACTTTGTTTTCCTCCCATCTTCCCCAGTAAACATTAATTTCTTGGTCTATCCCATTAAAGGTGGATGTAAACACAGGATAATAACAGTTAGGGCCAAAAGTCTTCTGATGGAGAGAGAGGAAACCTAACAAAAGTCCGATTTTCCTTTGTTTCAGGCCAAACATTTACCACTGGAGTTCTAGGGTTCCAATGTGTCCACCCCTCCCTCATGATTTGAAGGAAAATAGCTCCTTCAAACCTGTAACATTAATACAATCATTTATGACATTTTCATTTTCCTTTCTGCTTATTAATATCTTTCCAAAATGTAAATAAGTCATCATGTTTTAATTTTTACAGAGTTTAAAAAGGATATTGAGTCTTCATTAAGCGAGCCTCTACTTCTTAGGTTTTTAAGGAGATCTTACCATAGTTGTTTCATGTATCGACCCAAAGCTATTAATGAAAATATTTATTTGTACATCAACTGGAATATCTGGAAACAAAAAGAATAATAATTAATTTCACAGTTTAAGCACTAAAAACCTACAAGAACATATTTAATTTGGAGAAACGATTAGATCAATTAGCACACCGATGTTTATTTTTCTCCCACTCTAACTCTCCTTTGTAAGCATTTAACTGTTCTTTGAATAAGGCCAGTGTTCTTAACCAAACTGATTAATCTAAACAGATATTATTTTTTAGGTAAAGAAATTATTCCAATAACTTTTAAAATTATCCTTTTTTCAATTTACCCAAGTCATTTGTTCTTCCTTTTCAGGTGATACGTATTTTTCTGAAATTCAATATATACTCAAAACATAAACTCAAAATACTCAATATATTTTTCTGAAACTTAAGGATCTTCTTGTGGAGCAGTGGTAGAGTTCCTACCCCTGGGCTGGGAGGCTCAGGTTCAAGTCCCCACGTGTTCCAGAGGTATGTAATAATATTTCTGAACAGGTTGATTAGAAAAATAGGTTAAATCAAAAAAGTATAATTCATTCCCCCTTAAGCACCATCTTTATAATGCTATAAATGATCATATATTTTCTCATTCATCCACTCTACTGTTTTCAACCTTTTCTGTGCCATTTCTTATACTTCCCTCCTAGAATTTTCATTACCTTTGCTGGGAGATGATTAACTAAACACAGTAATGTGTGCATGGTCTGACCAGTGGAGGACTTTTGCTTAACCTGTGAAGACTTCTCCTATACTGTTATGGCTCTTTACCCCACCATTCCTTTAACATCTTCTGGGGACAGCTCTGCTGTATATGAGGAGGGACAGAGCAGATTGAATGGCCTATTCCTACCCACAATTATTATGTTCGCATGTAACTTTATATGTTTAGGCCAACTTCTTTAATTCAACTTCAACAGACTCATCAAGTTGAGAGAGCTCTATCGAACAGCCCATTCAGAAACTGAGTCAAAAGTAATATCTGTGTGTTATTATTTGCTAATTTAGTGCTAATTGGGAAATGGAGGCAGGAGTGGACATTAGACCATCAAGGAGTCATTCAAATTTTACGTCACAAATATTAAAAAAAAACTAATTTGGCAATAAAACAATCACATCTTTCACTTTAATCCCAAATCACAACAGGCACTAGAAAGACAGCATTAAATTTTAAAGACTTAATTAAAACTTTTGTCAGAAATGACAATGATTGGGATTCAGGGATTCCCTTGCTACTGTTTGCCGTTAAGGATGCCTCTAATTAAACCAAAGGACTCAATTCTTCTGAATTGATATATAGACACAAGGTCAGAGTCAATGTGGTAACAAAGATTGATACATTTCTAATTCAACAACTCAAGGACATTAGAGAGGATTGAACATGGATCGTTACACAGCCAATTTATTAAGAGATATGAGTAAATTTCATTGACCAATATAGCCCAAGAGATACCAGTTTTTGTAACTCTGGATAAACTTTATCAAGGTAAAGTCGTGTCTTTTAGAAAGAATAAGCATACCACCAACTTCCTGAAGATTACCCAACAGAGTCACTGAAGGATTATGCAATTGCATTTCAGTTGTGACTGACAATTTAACTCTTTTCAACCAAATTTGGGAAGCATATTTACAACACTTAGCCAATTTGATCATAAACTTGACAAAAAAAATGATTTTGGCAAAACCAATCTTTATGGGCACATTTATGAGACAAGGCCAGTTAGCCACAGAGTGTTGGTGTCATAGCTAATGGAAACAGACCCTTTGATCCAACTAGTCCCACCTGCCTAAATTTGGCCCATATCCCTCCAAACATTTCCTCCTTCTGTACTTATCTAAATGTCTTTTAAACGTTGTAACTGTACCGGTTTCCACCAGTTCCTCTAATAATAACCACTGTTTAAAATGTTGCCCCTCATGTCCTTTTTAAAATCTTTCTCCTCTCACCAATATGCCTCATTTTGAACTCCCCACTTTAAGGAAAAGACCTTTATCTGTGCACCTCATGATTTTATAAGCCTCTATAATATCACCCCTCAACCTCCTACGCTCCAGTGAAAAGAGTCCCAGCCTATTCTATTCAGCCTATTTGAATGATTCAAACTCTCCATTCCCAGCAAGATCCTGGTAAATCTTTTCTGAACACTCTCCAATTTAATAATATCCTTCCTATAACAGGGCAACCAAAACTGCACATTGTATTCCAGAAGAGGCCTCACCAATGTCCTGTACGACCTCAACATGACGTCCCAGCTCCTATACTCAAAAGGACCGAGCAATGAAGACCAGCATGCTTAAACATCTTCTTAACCACCCTGTCTGTGATGCAAATTTCAAAGAATTACATACCTGAACTCCTAAGTCTCTCTGTTCTACAACACTACCTAGGGGCCTGCTATTAAAATTGTACAAGTCAAGCCCCTCTTTATTTTACCAAAATGCAATACCTCATTTATCCAAACAGAACTCCATCTGTCACTCCTCAGCCCATTAACCTAATTGATCAAGATCTCTTTATAATCTTAGATAACCTAAGGTCATCACCAATTTTGGTGTCATCCATAAACTTACTAATCATGCCTCCTATATTTTCATCTATATTATTTATATAAAATGACAAACAAAAGTGGGCCCAGTACCGATCCCTGTGGAATACCACTAGTCACAGACCTCCTGTCTGAGGAGCAACTCTCCACCCCCACCCTCTGTCTCCTATTGTACAGCCCAATTTTGTACCTAATTGACAAGCTCATCCTGAATGCTATGTGATCTAACTTTTCTAATTAGCCTACCATGTGGAATCTTATCAAAGGCTTTAGTTAAGTCCAATTAAGCACCATCTTCTGCTCTACCTTCATCAATCTTTCTGGTTACTTCCTCAAAAAACTCAATCAAGTTTGAGACACAATTTCTCTTGCACAAAATCATGCTGACTATCCCTAATCATTCCTTGCCTGTCCAGATACAGGTAAATCCTTTCTTTCAGAATCACCTCCAACAACTTACCCTTCATCAACGTCAGCACCTGCAGAAGTGAAAATAAGGGCTACCTGGGATTGTCCAGAGCCTAAGACAAAACCAGATATTTTGAGACATGTGTAGATGCTGTTGGAAGTTTGCTGCAAATTTTAAGCGTTCTACTGGCTCCATTCACAAATTTGTTAAAGAAAGGCAAAAAGTTTGAATAATCAAGCAGTGTCAAAGTTCTCTTAACACGTTAAAAGTTGCGTTTCTGAAGAAGGGTCCTGACCTGAAACGTCAGCTTTCCTGCCCCTCTGATGCTGCGTTCCTCCAGCTCCACACTGTGTTATCTCTGACTCCAGCATCAGCAGTTCTTACTATCTGTTACCACCATACCTGTTTCAGCAATACTGAATTATACTAAGCTATTTAATGAATTATACTAAGCTATTTAAAGCGGCTGTTGATGCTGAAGGATTGACGGACACTGCGTTTGCAGTTTGTTTCAGATGTCTCAGGTTCAGACGCTAGCTGAAAGAAAAAAAACTATTCAGCGACTGCACAGACATACACTGAAAGGAAACTGGCGGCAGTTGTTCCAGGCTGATCCTGAGGAAGGCACCATTATATGGTAACGCCTCACTGAGGTTTAGGTGTTTCTAAGGATATTATTAGCTTAAAGGGAATTAAGTGAATTTGAATTATTTTCTGAATCTGTAAATAAATCTTTCCAACATTCTATTTTGTCCAGTGTCTCTATCTTGAGGGACAAACTAATTGAACTAAATAGTGTCACAAAGATCAGTGCTGTGCCACAATTATTGGCAATACATATTAGTGACTTAGGTGAGGAATTGGATATGATGCCAAACAAAAAGTTAATACGTAAGGTAAGATAACACAAGATTAGATAGAGGATTTGCTAACCAACAAAAAGCAGAGAGTTGCAATAAATGGGTCTAACTAGTAACTAGTAGAGTACCATAGGGTTTGGTCCTTGGCTCTCAACTATTCAAAATGTATTTGAATTACTTGGATGTGGAAACAGGAAGTACTGCAGCCAAATTTGGAAATGACATTAAAATTGGTAGAAAATAAGTTGCAATGAAGAAATAAGAAATTACAAATGGAAATGGATGTTAGGTAAATGGGCCAAAATTTAGCAAATGAAGTTTAATGTGAATACGTATGAGGTTATCTATTTTGGTCGGAGGACAGCTGGAGTAGCTGCGACTGTACTCATTGGGGTATAGAAGAATGAGAGGTGACCTTATTGAAACATACAAAATTCTTAGGTGACTTGAAAGGCTAAATGCAGAAAGATTGTTTCTGCTAGTGGGAGACGAGGTCAGGAGAGCATAATCTCAGAATAAGTGGTCATCCATTTAAGACAGAGATGAGGATGAATTTCTACTCTCAGAATAAAGTACCTTTACAATTCTTTACCACAGAGGGCTGTAGACACTGTCTTGTTAAGTTTATTCAAGGCTGAGGCTGACAGATTTTTAATCAGTAAGGGATTATAGAAATTAGGGAAAATAGTTTAGGATTATAAAATCAGCCATGTTCTCATTGAATGGTGGAGCAGAATAAATGAACTGAATGGCCTATACATATGCTCCGATGTTTTACGGTTCTAAAGGCAGTCAAGCCATCAGGTCCGGGTAGCCTGCATCCAAATGTTTTAAAAAGGAAGTTGCTTCAGCGTAAGTGGGGGCATTGGACAAAATATTTCAGAACTCACTGGATTCTGAGGGATCGGAAAACTATTAATGGTACGTGGTTGTTCAAGAAGAGGGATACAAGAAGCAGAAACTACACGGCAGTTAGCCTAACATCTAGAATTGGGGTAATTCTAGAATCCATTATGAGGAAAGAACTAGTTCATTTACAAAAGCTTAACCCAATGAAAGAGTAAACATGGCTTTGTGAAAGGGAAATCATGTTTGGCAAATTTCCTAGAGTCCTTTGAGGTTATAACAAGCTGGATTGATAAAGGGGAATTGGTGGGATGTATTTGGATTTTCAGAAGGTGATAAGGTGCCACATAAAAAGTTATTGCAGAAA